TCTGAGGTACGCACACGTGAGAGAAGTAGTCTCATTCCTCCTGGCTACACCAGCGAGTGTTGCTCCATTTCTTTTCTCCTGCTGCACACCCAGCGCCGCCCCTCCGCTGCCCGAGCAGCAGTTGTTCCGGCAGGTGCTGGGCCAGCAGCGGGTTCTCATGCGAAACATTTGTCTGAAAGGCTGAGGGCTGCCCGGCCGAGCACAACCCACCTTAAAGATCAGTCATGAGGTACCGGCAAAGAGTGTTCTTGGGAAGGTCTTTTGCAGTCCTGAATCGAAGAAGTGAACGTTTAGCCGGTCCCTCCTCCCTGCCCTTTACCGATATGCGCCCGTGCACCATTTAAGTCTAGCATTTACTCCCAGACACAGGGCTGTAGTCTTCAAAAAAGCCAGTTGCCTTTTTTTTATATATATTTCTCCATAGTACTTTCTGTTAGAATTGCCCATTGTTGAATTAGCTAGACTAAAATATAGCCTAGACGAGGTAGCAGGTGGCTGTACGTCTGCGTCAGAGCACGCTCGTACTTCACACTGGTGAGGGCTCGGGTTAGAGGACGATACAAACATCACCGAGGGGGAGGGCAACTGCTTAAATCCCTTAGCCTGCCTCTGATCGAACGCCAGGAGGTGGATGATTGCTGTGATGTCTAGCTGTTACCTGCTTGTGGATATTAGGGCTGATGATCTTTCGGTTTATATTCCATGAACTGAACAGAGAATTATGTCCATGGTAAGGTCTCTTTTAACACTCATTTTTAACACTAACAATCACATCAGGAAAAGCACTGCATTGTAACAGCCTAACGGTAGCCCTTTATTCTAAGCACTTGGTGTTACAAGTCAAAAACTACTTTTTTGTTTTATTCTAAAGTTGTCTTTTATTTAGGGTTTGGATTGTGGTTTTTGGTGATTTTTTTTTTTTTTTTTAATAACAAGCAAACTCTTTGAGGCATATAAAGTATGTAAGTCAATTTGCAAAACCAGGTACAGATTTTTTAATAGAGTTTGGCACACTACTTATGCCATAACTATAGGGTATAAAAAGTCACAATGTTTATTGGTGTTCACATATGTAATATTAGGGAAACTACTTCCATCGTCTTTTCTTTACACTTCTGTAAATGATCCATACCCTGTGTATGTTAATTCTTAAAAGCCTTAATCCTTCAACTGTTCAGTGTGGGGTGTGTAGTCCAACAGGCTGCCTGTAAACTGTGAGCTCTTTTGTAAGCTGGAAGAATTTATCTTGTTACTGTTACTTTTTTGTAGGAACCTTTTAATTGAGAGCTGCCAAAGCATTACAATATGCAGTGCCTTAGCATTATATTGGAAGTACCTTTAGCCTCTTAACGTAAATTTTATATATTGTTTTATTAATTGGTTCCATTTTTTAAAATATCTGCATTTTTTCCCACAGAAATGCTCTTTGACTGCTTGGTCTAAACCAACCTTCTGTACCAGTCAGTCCCATTACTACGCAGTTAAATGCCTATACCAAAAGGAAAGGTTACAGATTCTTAGTTCTCCGTGAAAAGTGAATTGTATTAATAAATGCTGCCTTTTTAAATTTCATGACCAAATAATTAATTGTGACTCTTCTGCACTCTAGCATGAAAGTGCCTTTGGTTTGAGATTCCAGCTTAGAAAAGTGCTGCCATAATAATGACAATTTGTAGAGAGACCAAAAATATTTAGTTATCACCGTAATGCCTTTGGTTTATCGGAATAAGTTGAATCTACAGGCCTCCATTCACAAAAGAGCACCATTTATGGCAAAGTAATTTTGCTAACGATCAACCTGCTGAAGAATAATCTACTGTTTGCCATTTCTGACAGCGTTGCAAACCAGCAACTGATTTGTCTGTGATATAAAAATGATTCACATTTATATCCTCTTCATCCAGTCGTGCATCTGCATAACGAGAGATCCATACACTGCAGAATTTCAGACAGTGGACAAATGTGACTTTACTGTTCTCCTCTAATAATATTTTGGTATCTGTGAAGATTTTTTGTTTAGACAGAAGATTTTGTTTACAAAGTTGTGCATGCTGAAAGTCAGATGCATAAAACAAGATGAAAATGGAGAACAGAGAATAGCTAGGGTAAATGCAATTGTGTGGTTTTAAGCATTGAAATGTTGAGTGTGAGCGCTGTGGATGAAGGTGCTGTTAGAGAAACTCTGGCCAGCACGATTCAAAACACAGGGTTGTTTTGTTTTGTTTTTCTCCCAGATGATGTCGTGGAAAACAAAAAAAAAAAAAAGCTCCTCTTAATAATGTGTCTGTATTTGATACCTTCTGTGAACGGGGGCCATACTGTACACTACAACTAAAATTGATGGGAAGAGGAGCAAGATTTAAGACAACCATGTTAGAAAGAACAAATATCAGCAAAACCAAAAGCTGTCAGAGGGATTATATAGTTGTGAATACAATTTTAACTTGATTTTTAAAGTATTTGATGAAAACTAAGATTAACTTTTTATATATAGAAATATTGTGACACTGTGTGGTAAATATTGTGATAATTCAAGTTCCCTGTCTCTAAAATATTATTTTTATTATTCCTTCAAGGTCTAAATCTCACTTACCTCTATAAGACAAGTAATCCTGTTGAACTCAATGAGACTGAGGTAGGGCAAAGACACTTTCGCCCCACAAGCAGAGCATGTATTTTCAGTTATTACCAAACGTTTGAGCTGTACTAGTCAATATTTGTAATTAACTACGCTTCTGTCTCATTAAAATAAGCATAATGGTACCATTTGGGGCTGTTAAAAATTACTACTAACAAATGTAGTTTTACTTACTTGAATTCCAAAACCATTTTCTTTAGGTACTGCACCACTGTTTTGAAGGAATTGCAGATCTAATGCCTGTTTCTCACTTTCCCATTCTACCGCAGCTACAGCTCATTAAGTTTGTCAGTAGCTTCTTCCGTTAAAACCTCCACGGTATAGGCTATTTGAAATAATGAAGGGTGTACATTAATGTTGAATGTAAGTAACTGGCCAGTCCAAGGCAGATACAACATTTGACGTACTAATCCATATCTATTTATTTTTCCACTGCAAGTCCTAGGGCGTACTTGCTTTTTGAAGCAGTTCCCCTTCGAGTTCTCTCGGATCACATAATCAGTCACACTGAGAAACCTTTTGTCTGCCCTTTACTTGACCCATACTGGTAACTTACCCAGTCACACAGCAGATGCGTATAAGAGTGTCCAGTTTTTGTACTTTTCTCAGGATGATCTCTTTTCCCCCTTTTATCTTTCATAATGAGATGTTTAGCGCCCTAAAAAAGATTGAGGCTGGATAAGTCAAAGTACAAGAAACACTTTGGACATCTTTCATCTTTTAACTTTTCAGGTCATTCTTTCTGAGATCATGTAATTAGTTTTAGTATGTAAATTAAATCTTAAATGCACTCAGTTGACTAAAAGGAGATGGATCCCTGTTACCTCCTTACAGAATATGTGTTTTTTGTTTTTGTTTTGTTTTGTTTTATGGGCCTCTGATTCAGGCTCATGACTGCAGACAAAAAATACAATATGTGCCTGAAAAAAAAAAAAAAAGACAAAAGAATTTTATAACATTGAAAACCTGAATAGCCTTTAATTCTTCAGTACATTTTATGTAAAACAGGTTGGGTTTTTGTTTTGTTTTGGGGTTTTTTTGCCATGTGCATTTGTTCACATTTGTAAATGACTTAATGGAATTCTCACTTTATGTTTATTTGTGTAATGTGTATAAAATGGGTTTGTGACTTAAGCATATTCATATATGGTCAGTGGTTACTTTAATATTGTACTGCTGCTGGTAACTTTTGATGTAGAACTTGCCTTTTGATGATAAAGTACCTCTAGGTTAGACAGTGAGGGAAGGCTCTTTGAAAAAAGTGAATGTTCTCCGATGTTTTCTTAACATATTTGCAGAAGATTTCAAAAGGAGTTTCAGTCAAACCTCTTGGCAGTACAGTATTCTTGTATTTGTTATTGTCTGTGTGTAGGTACTGGTACCTTTTTTTGTTTAAAATGTTTTAAGTGTTGGCTTTAAAGTGAATTTATCTTTAGTATGATAGTAATATGAAAATTATAGGTTTTGTGTGCAGAGAATTTTTTTATAAAGTGCTTTGTAAAAAAAAAATATGTATTCTAGCTTTCGCGGTACATATGTGTGATAACTTTAATATCCATGACAGTTAAGTGCAATTATTTCATCACTCTAAAAATGCTATTTTTGTGTCGGTTACTGCAGGTGTTTTCATGTCTTTGCAAAGTGACACATTTTGATGCCTTCTTGATAAAGTGGTAGAATTTTTGTAGCTTTCTAGAAACTTTGTATTCATACAGTATCAATTGAAAATAAAGAAAATGACAGTGTTTTGTGCATTTATCTGCATCTCTTACATCAGTCTCTTTTTAATGTTGGGTGCAACGTTCAGAAGTATTTTCCAAATTAGCACAAGGCCAGACTTGTAGCAGTATCTGTGTACCTACCTAAAGGTGCTAGTGGACATCCAGAAGATTTATCAAAACCTGCGGGAGTGGCACTCCGGGCTGGCACATCTGGAAGCTGTATTCAACAACGAGTCCATATGTGTTCTGGCATTCTACCAGCAAGAAAGGTGACTACCTCTAGTTTGTGTGTATTCCTAAAGAAATGGTGGTGGATTTTTTGGAAACATCATTTAAACCACACTGTTTTAATGGGAAAAGCCACCCATCACCCTTTATTCCAGAAGCTGGAATGACCTGTTCAAAATCTCACCTAATAAATGGTATCGAATCCATCACTGACTTGGCAACTGACTGAGGAACACAGTAGTTATCTGAGGTTGAGGTGTTTCTTCCAGAAGGACACTGAGCTCTGTGGGAACTGAAGTCCTAAAAACGTGGCATTTTTCAAGAGACTGATTTCTTGTTTTTTAATTAAACTACTTGCCCCTCAGTTAGCAGCTGTACCTGGTATGATGAGAGGATGAAACAGGATCAACTTGCCTGCTGCCTTCATGAAGTGAAACCACCTAGCAAGGGGAAAAAAAAAAAAAAAAAAAAAAAAGGAAAAAAGAAAAGAAAAAGAGAATAAGAGATATATCCTGGATCAACTGAAATCAATGGGAACATAACCAGGACTTGGCAGAGAAGAAAAGATGTACATCTGGCGCATCTTCTGCTTCAAAAGCGTAGCAGTGGCTTTTGAATAAACCACTCACCCCTCCCACACGCCCCAATTCTCCTTTTGGGTGGCAGATGTTCCACTGCCATTTTTAAAATGCCAGCAGAGCACCCCCCATGTGCAAGATGAATGGGTTGAGAACAACACACAGATATGGTCTGTTCTGACCCTGTTTTCTCTTCTTTGTTCCCCATTAAGTATACAGCTTCAGCCCTTTGAAGTGGGTTAGCTGTTTCAGAAGCAACCTGCTTCTTAATTAAAGTTCTGCTTCTTAAATTAATTTAGGTTTAAAACCATAAATCTTCCACCTTTGGGAAAAATGTCATGCAGCATTTCAGGTTGGGAGTCCCCATGTAACGTCACACACCATTAGTTCATTAACGAGCTGCCTTCAGCACAAGCAATGGCCTCTCCCTGACTAAGCACAGTCTGGTTTATGTGAACATGGCACGGGCAGGGAACAAAGGCGACAGACCAGTTACTCCATGCCATTTTACAGAGTGTAGAATGATGAGCTCTACGTGGTCCACAGACTTTTCTGGATATCTTTTTTTTTTTAAAGATGCGGCCTATTTGATACTACAAATACAGAGCACATTTAATGCTCACAAACCCAAGAGTAAAAGGAGGGTTCAGAGCTAAGCAGTGTTAGCAGATGTCTGTAGTTCCCACACACAGCTCTAGCTGTTCATCCCAACCCTGACCTGTCACAGCCTTACTATTGTTGTCTGGGGCCCACCGAGCAGAAACAGCTGATCAATCTGTTACACCAAACAGCAGTGGCTTAGCAATGTTCACAAATAATTACTTACCTTGTGGAGAGGTGTGACACTCAATTGGTTAATGGTTGTAAATTGTTCTGTGATGGCTACTGTTTTGTGAGCGCTAGAGCTGTGCTGAAGACACTAGAAACTTGGTGAAGGGAAGGAGGGAGTGGGTGGAGAAACTGTACTAGGAGTGGAGCAAAAAGGAAAATTGTAGAAACCCAGAGTGCAAGTGACTGTGAAAAAAAAAAAAAAAAAAAAAAAAAGAGTAGCAGGGTATTGCTTTTCAAAGAAAGTGAAAAGCTGAGAACAGGAGAAAATAGGAAGAAAGGAGGAAAAGGATCATTTGAAGACCACCACCAAAGTCCATCAGAAGAAAGAGGGAAAACTAAGAAAAAGGCTACAACAAAACACAAACATTCACCTTCTAAGTCAGGGACTAGAATTCCACTTTTTTCTTTTCTCTCCTGTATTACTTCTTAATAGCCCTTTCCAGTTTTGGGACATATTCTCTTAAGTTTAAGGGAAAGGGCTGCTGTAGGCCTCCGTTCTTGTGTGCCTCACTGTGAAGAATCAATAAACCCCAAAAATCTCAGCAGCAAGGCACCCTGTAGCCTCCCTGACAGATGAAGAGCTGTCAGCTTGGTTTTGGTTGGAAAACAGTGAGAGAGGGGGAGAGTGAGCATGAGCAACAGTCACAAATCTGAAACAGTCAGCTGAGCAAAGGTGCTTGAGTGCAAGTGACTTGTCTCAAGTTATCCAGCACTGGCCGCCTTCCTTCCATATATGTGTGGGTTTGGGTGCATGCAGAGTCCATTATAAGTTTAGGTTGATGAATTTCAAAAATGTTTCTTTGAATGCCCCTCTAGGATAGAGGTGATAGCATAAGCAGACAACCCTGATGCTATTAAATGGGAGCAGCAAGCCAAAAAAAAAAAATTTTTTTTTCATAAGTCTGTTTCTGTTTCTAAACATCTTTATCAGCTGTTAGAGATGTCTACACCCAGGGAGCAGTTTTGGATCCAGCCTTAGCCATTAGAGCTTTTCCCCAACTCCAGTAAAGTCAATGTCCCTCTAAGGATGGTGGTTGGGGCCATCAGAGCAAATGGTGCAGGAGCTGCGATTAATATGTACGTGGCCCTTTTCATTCCTCTTACACAGTTCAAAGAGGACATTAGTTCACTACTCATGCTTACCTTCCAACGCAGCTTAATGCTTTGCTTTCTGGACCTCCAGCAACGGCAGAATATGGCAGCAGCTTTCAGACTCATTCTCTGTTTGAACAGAGCACTGAGCTGTATGTGCAGCTGACTTTCCCAGTGGATTAACAAACTACAAACTGCTTTATTTGTTTTTTCTGCTGCAAGCATGTAAGTTTATTATACATATTTAAAGCTCCTCCTCAATTATTTTTTTGTTGTTGTTGACAGAACCAAAAGAATAAGGATTTTTCCAGACTTTTAAAAATTCCTTTCTGCTAAGATCATATGTTCTCTACAGTGTTATCAGAGAATTTATTTTTTTCCAAGATACTGGTCTTTTCTTATCCTTTCACCTCTGATGTTGAGCTTCTCAGTGAGCATTATACTTGGCAAAACGTACAAGAACAGCATTCAGGTTATAACCATTCCCTTTAGTATGCTATGAGAACAACTCCTTTTTGATGCAGCTCTACATTAATTGAAGAGGGAATACCTGTGCCTTCATGATATTTGGCCCTTCCATTAGTTTTGAACTGAACCCACATATGACAAACTCAAGCAATGATATATTAAGTTCAACCAACTGCACACATATTACACCACTGCACAGCACAGAGAATTTGATGGCTTCATTGTAAAATATTGGTTTTAGTATCGGTTTTAGTATGATTATATTGTATTTTTGATAGGGTTTAATCTAAGCTTTATCATCAGAACAGCATGATGGGTGGAAACTCGACAGTGCAGTTCACCTCTAGAGTTTACAGCAATAATGTGGGAGAGAGAACACTAGTCTCAGCAGGGTTTGTGTTCCCCTATCTCCTCCAATGATCTCCTGTTTTGAGGAGGTGGCAGTGAGTAATGTTTGGGAGGTGCCCCAAGACTCACCAGCGATTGGCTCTGGATTAGCACAAAGGAGCAGGTAGATGTGGTGCAGCAACGAGCAAACTCCAAACCTTTTGGCTTTCCTGCCTACTTTCACCTACCTGCCAGCCAACAAAAGGACACAATATCATGTGGGCAGTGAACTAACACATGAATGGGGATGGTTTTGCAGATTTTTTCTCCAACAGCTCACTTCTCTGAAAGGCTTTTACTTGAGACTAGGATCACCAGGCTCACAATTCTTCTTCACTCGGGGTGAGGCACCACAGGGCACGCAGAGCACTCAGACAGAACTATAGCATCAGCTTACTGATTTTTTCCATGCAAACAAGACATCTTTCCATTAAGAACATCAGTGCTGGAAGTGGTACAAAGGTAACGGCCACTCTGAGGGAGCAAGTCTAAGGGCTCAGGAGCCACTGAGAGGAGACAAACAGGGCAGCCACGGGCGGTCAGGCAGGCTCTCTTCATGTGCCCTGCTCTAGGCAAGTGGGGTTCCTCAGATCAGGAGGAGGTGGGAAGAGAACTGTCTACCCACGCAAACCGTAGCACCAAGGGAATAGCTACAAGCACAGTGGAGAAAGTTAGCTTGGAGGTACCTGAATACTAACAGAAAGGAAGCATCAGCCACGGGGATTAGCCATGATTTGAAGATGAAGCTGATGAAGCAGGAGATTGGGTAAAGGCTGTTTCAGAGAACTGCAGAGAAGGTGGCTGCTCCACTACCTCTGGTCAGACACATAAAAGAGCAGAGACTAAAGTCAGTGTTGATCAACTGGAGGCAGCTGGAAAAGTATCAAAGAAAGAGAAATGAACCAAGAGGACCAGCCTGAGGAAGGCTTGCAGCGTGCTCGTTAATATGAATTAATATGAATACGGCCAGTAACCTGTTAGGACACAACTGAGTGGTGGAAGTGGAGAAGAACATCAGACAACCCCTGAAATACTGAAGGAACAGGTGCAGAGCTCTGTGTGTTCAAGCGGCTGCATAGTTGCGAGTGACCATTGCCAACATCAGAAGTTATGGCACAAATTAGACTTTCTTGGGTGTGCCTGTGAGATGCATGGGAAAGCTGTGGATGCAGCAGTAGACAGATTTACAGATAAGAAAGAGCTGGGAGCGGGTGGAGAGTTCAAGATCAGGGCTGCACACAGGTTCCATGCGAGGGAGGCAGATGGGAGGTTGAGAGGAGCAAGGAGATAAAAGCCATGGAGATAGAGCCACACACTGTGGACCTGCAAAGCGGTCTGTCAGCTCCAGCGACTAGCTCTTCCTTACCAGAAGACTGTGGTGGTAGGAGGCAGCATGGTGTGCCCGTGTCTGCAAAACAGGGGGAACAGGGAAACGGTGAGACTAACAGCTCACCAAACATACACTCACGGCTGAAAAAACAACACGTCATCCTGAGCTCGTTTTCGGCTGCCTGTTGACAAGACAGACAAGTATTTGTGCGTAAGAGATGGTCACGATTACAAAGGAGATCTAGGGACACTGATACCTGCACGGTATAATTTAGAAACCTGTGCAGTGTGGATGGTTTGTTACCCTTGCAGTCCCCAAACAACAGGCATGTCATCATGTAGTGGGGGGGGTGTCCAGTTTCTTTAATAAACAGAAAAAAAATAATTCTGCAAAATATAAAGATGCTGTCCCGCTCTTAGAAAAGTACCCAATGAGAATCTGGGACTCTGGGCTCAGAGTATGTGCGGCTCAGCTTTGCTGAAAACTAGCAAACAGCTTTGATGCTGAGAGTGTGCACAGCTCCATGTCATATAGGAAATGTCAGGCACACGGAGAGTCCCTGGTAAGAGGCAAAAGAGTAGAAACTTCTCTGCCAGCAAGTGAACAAAAAAGCTTGAAAGTCTGACCAAGACACAAATGAAGATACAACCCAAGATGTCTTTAAAAGAAACATCAATTCTTACTCACTTTCTTTTCAAGACTGTATCAATCCCGATGATAACTGGATTTAAGCCTCCATACGGTAACAAAGTTG